TGGAATCCTTTATCCTCCGACCCCCCCCCCCCCCTTTTTTTTCCAGATCCTTTTCAAAATCCCGTTATCCTCACATGTATCCTTAGCAAAGTCCCCCATAACTCTGTCACCCTCTAGTCCCTCACAACTCTGTCACCCTCAGGTCCCTACAAATCTCCTCCCAGTCGCTCAGCACCAGCTGTCGGCTGTAATACGCCTCCAGGTCGTCCACGTCGACGTCATCGCTGGTCAACTCCTCCTCGTCGTCGGACGGCTTGTCAATCACTATCTTGGGCGTGGTTTTACACTTGTTGTGTTTAGCCTCTGACCTACGCCCGCTAGTCAACTTTTTGTCCTCCAGAGTCGGCAGCTCTGTTAGAGACGGGGCGGACGTGGAGCCCCCGAACAGGATGAACTTGCTGGCAAAGTACCACTCCGTTCCTATGATGCTACCGTTGAGTAAATCTGACAGGGAATCTGACTTGCCACACGCAGAGTTCCCCATGGTGTCCGCGCAGTGTTTGTGGATCAGATCCTCCTCGGATCTCCTCAGAGACGACTTAGGAGACTGAGGCGTGGTACCGATACCGGAAGCGGTGCTCGGGCTCTTGGAAACGAGGGCTGACGATGTCCTCCCACCTCCGTTAGCGAGTATAACAATGGCCGACTTCTCGTTGAGTTCGTTATTAACCGAGCTCGCGATTTCATGACGAGGGTGAATTTCCCCTGAAGGAACACTGCCGTTGAGGAGAGCACTGACGGAGCCCCCAAGACCGTGAGGCCGCCGCACGTCGTTCAGGTTGTAGACCACGGCGCTGACGTTCAGAGTGTTATTCAGGTCGTGTTTGCTGCCGCCGAGGGCGGCCGCGCCTGGATCAAAGTTCTCCCCCGAGCGTAGTCAAACTTGACACGGCGGGGGCGTCGACGAGGTGGGGGCAACGGATTTGGCCGGGGTCGTGATGGCCGCGGTCTCGGTGACCTCCACCTCACCATTAGTCCTCATGCTAATTTTTTTCTTCAACTGCTGATCGCTTTTCATGCAGGTTTCCTCCAGACCGAGCGCCCGGAAGCAATAGCGTCGTATCTTCCTGTCCATGACACCGTATATTATGGGGTTACAGCTGTTCGCCACCGCATACACAACGGAAATCCCCACGTAAAAATCGGCGCTCAGCTCCAGTTTCCGGTCTATGAAGCGGACGATGCCGTACGGGAGGTAGCCCAAGATGATGAGAAGGAACACCATCCCGAACATCTTGGTGACCTGTATCTCCCGCCGCAACCACTCGCGTTTCCGCGTGGCCCGGATGGCGCTGGACGAGCGAAACACTTTGACGAATATGGCGATGTAGCAGACGATGAGGATGATGGAGGGCAGCATCTGGAGGGTGACGCTGACCAGCATGGTGTACAGGAGGAACTCCTTCCGGGCTATACAACGGATCAGCTTGGGCTGAAACTGCGACATGCTGCCCAGGTGCGGCGTGATCATGAAGAGCAAGGGGACGATCCTGGCGAACGACAGGACGAAGATCGTGTAAGCCTTCTTCGAGATTTTCTTGTAGAAGTTGTTGAAGCACACGACGATGAGCCGGTGGATGGAGATGAGGCCTGTGTGCCAGAGCGAGGAGCCCATGAGGAGGACGGTGAAGTGCATGACCATCTCGCAGATGGCCAGGCCCATCGTCCACTCCATCATGAAGTACGAGATGAGGACAATCATGTTGTTGATGCCGAGGTTGAGGATGTCGTTGATGCACAGGCTGACGATGAAGACGTTGGTCGTGTTCTTCAGGTCCCTGTTGGTGAGGATGACGAACGAGGTGAGGATGTTGCCGAAGAGCCCCCAGAGCAGGGCGATGAGCATGACGATGGCCCCTATGTGCAGGGCCGTCGCCGAGGGCGGTTCGTGCGAGCTCAAGTTGTTGAGACTGGCGGTGGCGTCGCTCTGGTTGAACGACACGGAGAAGTTGTAGTTCGCCAGGTCGTTGCCGCTGCCGTGCAGGTTGGTGACCACGGGCGACGACATGCTAAGCTGATTTTAACACTCTGTTTGTTTTTTTTTCAATCCCTTTTTAAAAACTCAACTTAAAGGCTGACCTTCATCAAATGGCCTACGGCATACGTGCAGGCTGTTCGAGATAGACAACAAAAGCTGCCATATCCACTTATATATTTACTGTACGTCCTGTATGGCATCATACGAATTTTTTTTCATCTATACGCTTTAATTTTAGAGTGTCTAAAAAACAACAGAGGAACTGTTGCTTCGAAGAACAAACTATTTCTTCACTGACTTCTAGTCCAACCCATGAAATGGAACTCTTTTTCTTTTTTTAGATTAAATTTTAAAACATTGAACTTGTTTTTTGTGGGTTTTTTGGGGGGTGCCCTTTCTTGACAACGCGTTTCAGTCCGTGTTATTTAATCTGTCCGGGATGTCCAGCTCGTTAGTGACGTCTGACCATATGTCCATCAGAGCTGCGTCCTGTTCTTGTGGGAGTCCAGCATTGATCGCCTATCCACTGCGTCAGGGCTCGTCTGGCTAAGAAGTGCGATTAAGGTTTTCGGGCGGATGACGTATTGTCTGTGGGTTCCTTTCCTTTTCTTTCCTTTTCTTTTCTTTTTTTCTTTTTTTGTTGTTTTTTAATCGCCGGCCTGGCAGGGAAGAAGCACACGGAACAATTTAGGCGCTTTTCAGGAAATTTAGAGACAGCTGAACGAAGGGCCGGCGGCGACGGTGGCAGAACTGTTGGCTGACACGCCCAGCGGTCCTCAAGCCAATGGCGTGAGTTGCTGCTGAGAAGAAAGACAAAAAGATATATAATAAATATTGATATTTTTCAAAAAAAAAAAAAATAATAAAGAAAATGGGGAAAGTAGATTCAGGAGCTCGTACACTTTCTAATAAAAAGATAAACTTTTTTTATAAGCACATGCATTTCTCATGAGCACATAAACTTTTTTATAAGCACATGCATTTCTCATGAGCACATA